CTTATCTTACAGTGAAACAGACATACAAACATACAAAAAAACGGACATCTGTGGTTTATATATAGTAAGGATTATTGAAAGCATCGGAAGGATATATAATAAAAAAATCTTTGTCGTTCCATGCATAAAGCATGGTTTTTAACAAAATGTGCATCTCTTCATCAACGTCTGTTGAAATGAGCTAAGCAATGTCGAATCCTATGAGAATCGGTTTTTCCGTATCGCATTCCAATTGTGCGCTCTACATACAAGCGCAGAGCATCCTCAATGATGCCGTGCCTGTTTTGGAAAATCGTTTACTATGGGAATCTTTACCTGAGTTCATCAAGCGAGATGTGTTTAAACGCTCCCAAAAAAGGATTGTCTTTAGTCTGAATAATGTCTTCTGCTGTGATTCTCCAGCTGCGAACTGACCTAACCATCTCTGGAGGTGCACTCCGTCACAAATATCCGTTTTTTCTGTTCACTTTAGGCACTTACCTAGGCAGTGCTTTGCATACACGCGCGATCACCCTTGTGACCATGCTTAGGGCGATATCACCTGTCGTCCCGTTGATCGTCAGGGCCAAACCGTCAGACCAAATGTCTCACCCCTTCCCCCCTCCCCCTACGGGACTTTCGAAACCAATTAAGTCATCACGTAATAGATACTTCGATAAAAACCATACCTCCCAGACCAGCAGAGTCAGCCCGCTGGGACGACAATAGTAGCGTATGTCGGGCTGATTAGAGTTCACGGTTAAGGCTGGAAGGCTAACCTTATATAGGGGCTCAGTTCCCGCGCTATTGCCACACATTCNCCCCCCCCCCCCCCCCCCATCCTGGTCATTTTTGGATGCCTGACCCGAGTCCAGAACGCCTCCACGGTTTCGCCGCGCGCCGTGACCTCGACAATGACCTCGAATTCGTCGCCGTTATGAGTCTGTGGCAACCTGGAGCAGTACATGGCCGCGACCTCGCCTTTCACTCCAAATGCTCCCTCCCTACCACGAACGTAAAACGGTCTAGCCGTCTCCTCTATATATTCTTTTCCACAATTTTGAAAAATGATCCTTTAGACCACACCTGCGATGGCACAGTCTTCATCACTGCCAGCGGGACAGGCCACACAGTTTTCGGGCGCGCATGTGCGGTCATAGAGACGGTTTCAAACGAGATGACGTTTTAGGTTATTGGAAGTGATATCCATAAGGGCAACACTGTCTTCCAGACCCGACTACTAGGCTCCCATGAAGACGAGAATCGCCGAAATGTTAGCATCGTCGAGGTCGTAGCGCGCGAAACCCAGACAGCTGCGCGTAAAACCATGGAGGCGTTCTGGGCTCGGGTCAGGCGTCCAAAATGAACCGGGGGAGGGGGGGGGGGGGGGGGGGGGGGGGNGAGAGAGAGAGGGAATGTGTGGCAATAACGCGGGAACTGACCTCCTATATTAGGTCAGCCTTCCAGGCTTAACCGTAAACTCTGAACAGCCTGACATACGCTACTATTGTCGTCCCGCGGCAGACTCTGCTGTTTTGGTAGGTGTGGTTTTTATCAAAGTATCAATTACGCGATGACTTCATTGGTTTCGAAGGTCCGGGGGGGGGGAAGACATTTGGTCGATAAATCATGGAACATTTTCCACCTTTTTAGGCTTCAAAAAAGGCGAGAATAGCCGAAACATTAGCAGACGGAATTGTAATATTTAACCTCGTATTCTGTTTGGTAAAATAGAGTTGTAAGATGTTGGCCGTTGGGCCAGGATGGTTACGGACTGAATCACTCGCTAACCAAACACCAGGATGACCGCCGGGCCGATGGTCAGGCTTCTTCACGAAAGCTCTGAACAAAAGGAGTATTTGGCCCCGTGTCCCTCGAGCGAGTACGACCCACTGGACAACTCTGGCTCGCGGCAGAGACGAATGGAGATGTTACTGGCGCCCGCCCCGAGGAAATCGACGATCAACGGGACAACAGGTAATGCAGGCGATTTGCGCCTCAGCTTGGTAACAAGGGTGATCGCACGTGTATGCAAAACCCTCCTTAGGTGAATGTCGAAAGTACAAAAAGCGGATGTCTGTGAGGGAATGCACCTCCAGAGATGGTTAGGTTCAGTGTGCAGATGGAAATCATAGCAGAAGACATCATTCAGAATGAGGGCAATTCTTTCCGAGAGCACATAAACACGCCTCGCTTAATGAGCTCAGGTAGCGATTCCCACAGAAAACGATTTTTCGAGACAATCACGGCACCATTCAAGATGCTTCGCGCCTGTAGAGCGCACAAATGGAATGAGCATTTTTTTTCCAAAGTTGATGTTTTAATACAGGAGCCCCTTTCCCACTTACTGCTGAAGTCACAGACCTGGCCGACAATTTCTTCAGCAATTAAAGTTCTGACAAGCTTACATCGTCAACTGCAGAGCCATCGCGTGCAAAAGCAATTGTAAGAAAGGATCAAACTCGTGGCATCAGCCAGCCCCATCAAAAGGATGCGCCACGCATTCGACTTCCATTCAGAATCGTAGTGGCGTATTGTATGCGTAAGTGGCCAATACAATGACTTGCGGTGGCTAGCCGATGTACAATGGAATGGTTGGTTGGCTTAAGCGGATCGATATCCACTCGGGCCAACCAACCATTCCATCCCTCCTGAGTCGGTTGATTGGTACCAGATTCGTCTAAGAGGGTAAAAGCATTGACCCGTACTTCGGTTAGCCACCGCAAGTCATTGTATTAGCCACTTAAGCATTCAATACACTACTACGATTCTGAGAGTAGAATGCGTGAGCGCAACCTTCTGACGGAATTGGTTAACGCCCCAAGCTTGATCCTTTCTTACTATTGCTTCTGCACGCGATCGCTCTCCAATTGACGATGTAAGCTTATTAGACGTTTAATTGCCGACAAAAGTGTAAAAGCAATCAGAACCAACTATTATCTTTAGTGTATGCAATTTACCTCTTATGTGTTGGTTGCAAACAAGGATCTTCCTTTCTCGCAAAAAGTTTTAATCTATGGCTCTCAACTAATTTTTTGGCGTTAATCAATCCCGTCTGAGGGGTGCGCCTACGCACTCGACTTCCATTGAGAATCGTAGTGGCGTGATGAGTGCGTGTGTGGCCTATACAATGACTTGCGGTGGCCAGCTTATGTACAAGTCAGTGCTTTTATCCACCGTACCGAGTCTGGTACCAGTTCGCCGACTCCGGAGGATTGGAATTCTCGCTTGGCCTAGGCAGGTATCGACCAGGAATCCGAACTCTGACCGTACGTGTGAGATAGTACGCCACTTGCCACTACACCACCTTCGTCCATTGGCTATTAACTAGTTGTTGTAAATCCATTCGTTAGCAACTGCTTCATCTGTGCGATTATTTATAAGCCTTTTCCGTATGCCGTTCACATCGTGACATAAACTGTATTGCTCTTAACCGTTTCAACCTTCGCTACAAATCCTGACATGAGACAGTTCGCAGTTCTGAGCGTAAGCAGACCTTCTTCGGAAGCAAAGTTTTTCGGATTATCATTCTTTGCTCTTCAACATCGAAAAAGAAAATGCCCTTTCGTTTTTTTTGTGTTATGATTCCAGATGTCAACTGTTGTCATGAAGGCTATTTGTAAGTAAGATGCTGCTGTTCTTAATGGTTGCATGGTTTTCGGATAATTGTCTCGAGATCATCCGTCAAGTGCTTATGACTTGTGCACCGTCCTAGTTGAAAGATTTTGTTTTGTTCCCACCTGGATTAGCGTGATCATACTGATTTCTGGACGCGCTCATCCCGGATAGACACACGTCGCTGAAATTTCCACTTCTTGCAACTTTGTCGTTGTTCCGTGCTCTTCTTGTTGGCATCAGTCGCTCGGGCCACTGCGAAGGTTGGCATGACGCTCGTCTTGTTCTCGCTTGATCAAAATAGCTTACTGTGACGAGGTTCGCTGCATAATGTATTGTCATTTTTGACGCACTGTTAGCTAGAATGCTGTCAAAGCAACATTGCCAGCACAATCTTTTTATTACATCGACGGTATGAGACTGTTCACCTACAACCAAGGGGTGACCGGCATTGCTACGCGTGATGACCGAGCTTCTCGCATATCACAAATTTCGGATGGATCTCGATCACATAGAGTAGAGTCATCGTTCTTACATAGATTGAGGAGAACTGGAGAAAGGAGCTGTCGCAGACTCATGCCAACGTTCCTCTGAACGACCTTTTCGGACTGATGATCTTACTGAAGAGGTGATTCATTTTTCAGCTGCTATGACCTTCATTCTGATAATTCGAAGTCATGACGCTGCCAAAAACATCACAGAGAGCAATTTTCTATGACCTATGTATATCCCACGATGTTATAAACGGTCTCGAACGGCACTTACCATTACCGCTTTGGTTTTCTGCTTATGGTGGAACAGACTTGCGGTCCTCCAGCGACAAAACCAAAGCACTAAGGGCGGATGATCACCAACACGTGGTTTATCATCCATTTGCAGTTGCCGTTCGCTATTGTGGAGACAAGCGAGTAATTCCTATATGAGCTACATTTCAGAATTCACTGTAGGTCTTTGTAAGCAATGATCTCGCCTGGAACCGCATTGATTCAAGCTGTTCATCAGAAGAATCACTTTTTGCACAGTCCCTGGCACGCCATAGTATCACTAAGCTGGGTAGTGGAAGGGTGTGCGCTCATAGTCGTAAAAGGTATTTATTAGCATCAGAGATAAAACATCAGTGCACGTTTCCTCGCCTATTCACACCGATGCTCGTAGTTGCATTTCTTATCATAGTGGGTAAGCAAAAAAGAGCATTAAGTGTTTTATTTGTCATTTCAAATATACCTACCCCGTGACGTCACACAAACCTTTGATTGACCCGCAAGAGGTATGGCCAACGATTCCAGGGAACGTAGTCGCCCAAACAAGGCCGGGATACCAGTTTCGCGCCTGTGATCCTATACAGTTGCAAAGATGTCAAGCTGTCTTCAATGATGATCTTGGCATTGACGGTGAGACTATTACTGACATTCTCCGCCTTATCATTCTTTATATTTGATCTATTGACTGCTTAGTGCTTCTACTACTACTAAACTTTAGCTTCGCTTGGGGTGCTCACCTATCAAGATCTTAGAGCTGCTATTGAGAACAAGTTGGGTGTGTTGAAGGCCGATGGATTGGCAAAAGTCTGCATGTCTTTTAAATACTATAAAACTTGCTTTGCGTAAGTCTTTCTTACTTCTTGACTGTTCAAATTCGCAAAAATTTTCAGGCTCCTTGCTTATGCATTTATTCCTACTCTTTCGATCTCTCACACAGACTGGCTCCTTTTGTTTGCTTCTTTGACAACTACGTAGTCAGTTTGATCGGACTTCTTATGGCAGCGCCGTTTTTATCTGAAATGCCGGTTGCTTACCAACTTTCCGAATTCTGAACAATTCGAATTTCAAATCAGTCGTCTCCCCATCATGACAACTTTGCTTGGCTCAAAGGCACAGTTCACGATAAAGATGGTTTTTGAGATTCTCACAGGATGAATCTGAGGCCCCCGCGTATACCATATCTGGCACTATTAGGTCGGAAAAGGGCCTAGTTAGGAGGTTATGAAGGCTTAAATATTGGCCCGTGTGTATCCTCGGACGAGTTTCACCGGCATTGTAAAAGCTGCACCGATCACAAAGTAACCTATGTAGGAAGTTTAAACAACTTGTTATGACCCTTAGCGACTGTGAAAGACAGTTCTGTACAGTTCTGGCTTGATGTANTCAGCTCTGTGCAAGTGCAGTAACTGAAATCCCGTCTTAATACTCCTTCCATGTTACTGCCGTCATGGCAATCTCGTCCAACCTCTATTTTCCCTTCTTTTTAGGAACCATATTTCTCTCGAAATCGGCGAATTCTTTCGCTTTCTTCACTACCGATGAATTATTCCTAATCTATACTTCCGCTTTTCGAATAAAAGCGGGTACCTCAAAATTATCGTGAACTGTGCCTTTAAAAGCTGGCTTAGCGTTGTCTTCTGAGCATGTGTGAACGATTTATGGTTTTTTTTTTATCAAAACCTTTTTTCCATTTAATTGATCGTTGCTTCATTTTCCAGTGAACAATTCATAAGTAGCACATGGGGTTTTGCACAAACATTTAATTTTACTATTGCAATTACGCATATGATAGTTCATCCCTGATCAAGTGTATGAATTTGAAAAGCGTTGGCTGAACCTTCCACGAATCATCAAATTCTAAATATCGTTCAACCATTTGTGCAAGATATGGTTGGGTAAAAGTATTGATCAACTTCTAATTTATTTCTATATCTTTGAGAGGGCCACTCGGAAGTAGTCCGTAATAGGTTGCGGTAGACGGTTCATAAACGTGTACTTAGGGGGATGTTCAAACACGCCCTTGTAAGTGTATCGCAATTATAACATGAACCTTCTACTGCCGACTGAAGCTTTCTAATTGTAAGAGCTACTGTCTACTAAGAATTTCGTAAGAACATAATCTATCGATGGTTGCCGCAAATATCTGTGTTGCATTCAGAAGAGATTTCGTTTCTCATTCCGTGTGTGCCTCGTGACGAGTTTTTAATTTGAGTAAAAAATTCTGATAGATTTTTCATTTCCATTTCAAAAACTGTTTTTTTTTATTGAAAAAAGAATCTCAATCAGAAGTAGAGTATCCATCGTGATCAACAACAAATGCCTAACCATTTAATTTTCAGCTGGCTGCTTTTCAACCACCTTCATGACAGCAGAGCACTGAACAACTACACGCGAGTGAGGTTTTGCTGTGTTGTTTGTGGGGTTCTCAGGGAATGCTCTACTTCGAATCACTTCCTGAGGGTTCCACCGTTGCCGCCGAGATTTAAGTTTCTCAGCTATAGGGTTTGGCCGACATATTTCGAAAGAAGCACCCGCAGCGAAAAAATGTTTGCCTTCTTCACGACAACGCTCGACCACATATTACGAAACTGTCTCGAAGAACAGTGCCGAACTTGGATGGGAGTCGCTGACCCATCCTTCTTGTTCGCCAGATCTTGCTACATCAGATCACTAATTGACCCTTGCTCTGAAACATCGTCTTCGTGATAGAAATTTTTGTGATCGCTCGGAATTCGGAATTGAGGTTTCCAGCTTTTCCGAATCGCCATCANCGCGGTTCTCGGCTTCAGGAATCGAAAAACTGCCGAATCGTTGGGCATTTGTTGTTGATCACGATGGATAATACACTGCCGATTGAGATTCATTTTCAATGAAAATAACAGTTTTTGATATGGATTTCTGTAATTCTACAGAAGATATTGATTTGCTTAGGAGTTTTCCTTTTCATGAGTATTAGTCAGCTTCGTATAACTGCCTTATGACCTCGGAAATCAGCCAAAGTATATTATTCATTATCATCATATTCTGAATTGGACCTCAATAACGCTTATACATATACATATAGAGCCAATACATAGTAGTGGCTTATTGAATGCGTAAGTGGCCCATACTTGCTCATTGACTTGCGGTGGTCAATGAATAAGCCAGTGCTTGTAGGGATGGAACATTAGTGCGTCTGGAGGTAGTGATTCGAGGCTTTGAGGCTTGGTCGGCCTAGGCGGATATCGACAAGGGGCTTGAACTCGTGAACATGAATCTGCGATAATGCACCACTTGGCACCAGACCACCTACGCCCATGTGATTCATGTGTGTTATGCGAATATGTTTCTTACATTGCTGGAATCTTGAACTTAGTCATACAAAATCACTGCAAGGAGAATAAAGCGAAGTCTAAAATCCTATGTTCGAGGAAGCTTTTTTTCCTCCTGCTGTATTTGTATTACCTTGACTAGGTCTGAACAGAATCAGCCCCCTTCCTAAAAGCGGCCGATAGTACCGTGTAATTGCGAAAGTAGCCTTTTTTGAAATTCCAATTCCAAACCTCTGTGGGGCCTATGCGTCGTGAAATTCACCTATTAGCAATGCTATTAGTAAAGAATCAGATCAAAACTTATTGCAGCAACCGTAATGAATATTCGAACTGCGCTAACAATCCTCTCGGACTGCTCGTGGATCAGAATGGGTAATCATTCTTTTTCTAGAATCACAGTTGATCAGTTCCAAGCTTTCAACTGGGTGCTGTCACAAAGTCTACTCACTCAGACCGTTTTTCTCTCTGAAAATTCAGAATCGTTGCAGAACAGCAACTGGAATAACGGAATATCAAGCCCTTGGATATACGAAAATATTCAACCAATTCGACTTTTCTTGTGGCGCAGGCTTTGCTGGTAATATTTTTTTTCGTATGGAATTCAAGATTGTTCGGAATAATATTTCAGAGTTCGCTAATAACGATGAATGTGCAGCAAGCGTCTTTCTGACTGGAGTCGACGATATGAGAGCATGTGACAACAACTTTGCAGCTTCTATTAAAAGAGATCCAAATGTCATGAATAGATGCGCGTAAGTTGTTGAGCCTTTTATCCATTGTTATTCGGATCCCTTCTTTACCATGAGATTTCTTGGCCTAGAAGATTTAGAATTCCCAATGGACAAAGGCATGGCAGAATTCTATGATGTACTTTGATCCCGAAGGCAACAGCGTTCTTAAGCTCATTTACTGAACCTGTTCTGCTCAAGAAAATGAAGAAACTCCAGAATCAGATGGTGCTTGCTCCACCAGGTCTTTCAGACTATGCAGCATTGAAGAAAATCATTCACAGTACGAACCTCGAATAAGTTTACTGGTGGATTCTTGCTTTGCCCCTGTTGATCAATTCATTCTTGACTGGCCCTTCTTTAAATAAAGGGTAAAGGACTCGACTTCCACTCAGAATCGTAGTGGCGTATTAAATGCATACATGGCCTACACATTGACTCGCGGTGGCCAGCCAATGTACAAGTCAGTGCTCTTATCCTCCCAGACGATTCTGCTTCCAATTAGCCGACCCCGGAGGGATGGAAGGCTTGGTGGCCTAGGCGGATACCGATCCGGGATTCGAACCCCTCACCGTGCGTATCAGATAGTGCGCCACTTGCCACTACATCACCTCCGCCCTTCTTTGAATATTGACGATAAAATGTTAGGCCTCTTATCTTGCTATTCAAAGCACATGTTTTGGAATTGATCACTACTATACTCCAGTATCATTTACCCCCGATGCATATAATTCACGTATCATCTTCACCACTCCCAAATGAAAACAAAAAGTTCATTCCCATTTGAAAAGTAGACTATAAAGGCCATTCTGTGAATTGAGTTACGATTGCCAACGTGGGTCCCCTTTTTAAAGCGGCTAGACTATAAAGGCCATTCTGTGAATTGAGTTACAATTGCCAACGTGGGTCCCCTTTTTAAAGCGGCCAGAGCGAAATTCTATGTCTGTACAAAAACAGTGCTCACAATGCTTCCTTCATTGTTAGCACCTGTATTTTGTAATTAGGTGCAGTAAAGGTCAATACTATCAGATTCAGTGAGACTGTAGCTACGCAGGAGCAGAGAGCCACCCCTCCACTCCGACGTTAGGCGCTAGAGTGCAGAGAAGAAGGGGTGATCGTCTCTTTGAGCCCGTAGTGATGCTCTTCGAGTTCTTCGAGCATGAATATTCTGATAGCATGCTACCGCCTATACTTTGAAAGCCAAGTTCACAATAGAAATGGTTTCTGAGATTTCCCTATAGTATGAATTTAAATCTCCCCCTTGAACCATACCTGTCGTAATGAGAGCGAAAAATGTCTTGGATCGGGCACTGGAAGGATCCAGATTGTATCGTGTGGACGCCACACCCGCCACAATTGTAGACAGTCATGGTTTGATGTAGTCTCAGCTCTTGACACGATAAGAGCAAGTTAAATCTCGTCTAAAAACCCCGTACATCCCGTCCTGTCGCGGTGATCTCGGACAAACTCCCCTTCCACTACTTTTAAAGAATTTGAAGTAGGCAGATTTTCCGATTTCTTCGCCACTGATGTACTCCTCTACATCACAGCTTCCACTTCTCAACCTAAAAAGGGTACCTCAAATTATGGTGAACTGTGCCTTTAAGGAGAAATTGATCAGCGGACAACTGAATGCTCGATTATTCTCAGTTTATTTGCCCGGAGTAATAAAGTTACTTACCGCCGTCCCCCTCCCCTTCCCAATCTTAATTAAAAACTATATTCTACTCGCTAAAACATTTCTAGTGTAAGCACCATTACAGGCTCGCAAAGCGGGCTACTCTCCTTCTCTGCACTCTAGTGCCTAGTGTCAGAGCTATGGGGTGCCCCCCCCCCCACCTCCTTTCAACTACGTTCCCACGTTGAATTCTGTAAAGGCTTTAGAATTTTTACCACAAAGAGCTTCTTTTCACATAAGAGACCAGGCGGCTACGCACGCTATCGCGCGCGCTAGGGGCTCTAGCCATGAGAAACGGAACCACATGAGCTGATTTTCATTATAGACCCTTATCGGAATTATGAGTTTCCGCTCGAACCCCGCCTCCTGTGTCTGGTCCTGCCACACCATAAGTGTTCCCATCCTGTCACCTGTGCTCCTACCAAGTTTGCACTTCCTAGGTCCAAGGGCACAAGAAGTATGAATTTCGCCGAAACCCCGCCCCTTGTGGGCGGAGACTGCCCCTGCCACCCACCATAGGTCTTCCCACCTGCCTCCTGTACTCCTACCAAGTTTGAACTTTCTAGGTCCATGGGAACTGGAGTGATGGATTTTCGTATATAGTAAGAAGGGATGTGAGCTTCGAGGCACGCTCCGCCCATTGTGGGTGGGCCTCCGCTGACGTCACTTGTGCCGGAGGCACTTTCGACAATGCTCCTCCCACATCAACTTTTCTCGCTCTGTTGGCTTTCTCCAAACCGAGTTATAAATGTTTTCATAAAGCATTGAATTTCTGAAGAACGCCCCGCTCACGGGGGTGGGTTTCCCCAGTTGGATTTAACTCACCAATGCACACCTCTAGTCATCCTCACACCCCAGTTTTGAGGCCGTCTTGTGACTGAATTTGAAATCATGGTCCTCAATACATTCATTTCGATGCACGCCACGCCCACTGCGGGCGGGGCTCCGCCAAGCTCATGTGTGCTTTACACTTCTAGGGACATAGCCCACCTATCCCACGCTTGACCCGGTCTCTCCAGGCAGATCTAAAGGGGCTAAGGAATTTCGTGACAGACATACAGACAGACAGAGACAGACGAAGCGCTTTATATTATAGTAAGTAGAATAGGTCGTGTTGATTTATTTGCATTGATCCGTTGGTTGCATTCCAGCTTTCTTTGCCATCCACTTCATGGTATTTTGTACAGGCGACTTTGATTTATCATTCATCGATTTCCAGCATAATACGACTTTTACAGTAATGTACTGAAATTGGGAGAAGGATTTGAAATCTCAACGCTTCAAAATGTAGTGATTAGACGATAAGGTGATCGTGGAAGGTGTGGGAGGCCACCCTATTTCTGAAACGATGATGAAGTGGCCGATTTGCTTCCGGAGGATGTGTTATTCTCCAACTCTCGCTATCATAGCTTGCGGACGACAATGAATAAGGGTTGGAGGCATTTTCAGAGCACAACCTGATCGAACATTTTGATATGAAAAAAAAATCTAGTTCGATTTACCTAGTTCAAGTGATTTCAAATAGAAGTCGGGAGAACATTTCTGCAGAGAATCACTTCCGAGAGGCATAAAAAGGGTTCCTTCTCATCTTTGTTATATGCCCCTTCAATCAAGGCTCCAGCCCGAACGGTTGATGTCGTCTGATATAACTGGAGCACACCCGTAGGTTAAGCTGTCAATCGCGTGGTTTCCTGATACATCTGGCCTAGTAAAATAGCGAGCAACAGTTTTAAATGCATTCTCGAGGTTTTGAAGGTGTTAGAATGCTTCATAGACAAATTCTACTTGAGCTCAAAGGCACCGTTAGCAATAAATTTAGGCTACGCTTTTTTGACGGGATTTGATAGAACTACTCTAGAATAAAGCGATAAAAACGAAAAAAGCGCAAAAACGATGAACAAAAAGAATTACAAAGGGTCAAAAAAAAAGAGCTGGAAAGGGGGGTTGGACGAGTTTCACATTGAAAGAACGGCGATTAGGGAGTGTTCGGGCGAGTGCACGAGGGCAACGCAGTGCACGAAGGCTGGCAATTTGCCAACTAGCTTATCGACTTTTCACCAACTTCCCTCCAATGCGAAAATGGTGAACAGCAATTAGATTTCGTAGTCAGCCTAGCGAGGGGCGGAGGGCGACCGTGGATAACTCTCCGGCTCCTTATTGTGCCCTATCCAGCCGTTTTCCGACCTCATTCCTGCACAAATGGTATCAGAGGGGGCGTCGAATTTAAACCATGTGAAAATCTCCGAAACCATTTTTTCGTGAACAGTGCCCTTAAGTAATCATGGCAATAACAACTATGTGCAAAGTAGAACTCCGTCATTTTGTGTGCTTTATTTACTCCCCTATGAATAGCCCACATGGGAAGATAGTTTTTGTCCACAGTTGATGAAGGTACTACAGTTCCCTACTGAATATTGACAAAGTAGCCGTTGAAGTTTGAAGGCGAAGCCATCCCCTGTTTGACTTTCAACATCACGGGAAAAAACAAGGCCCATGACGTTCTTTCGAAGAAAACATTAGAACCCTTCATTTCAAAGATTCATATGCTGAGGATATTGCAATAAGGTTTTATTTTTTTTTTGCTGAACTTAAAACATAGCTCCAACTGGTGCTCCTTTTTTCCGGTTTGAGACAGCAGTTTTCGTTGGGAATGTCTGACATTCTGCTAAAGTGGACGTCTTTCAGGTACCTGGAAGTGGCCAAGGAATGCTATATGTCAGCTTTCAGCAAGCGTTGTTCGCAATATCCTGAGGTAGTTTGGTGGGGTTGTAATTATGAACGAGCCGGAGAACAAACCAACTTCCCTCAGTGTGACCAGATCTTCTGCACGTGTGAGTTGTGCTTTCGATTTGCAATATTACATCAACTTAATCTACAGTCAAAACCTCACTACGTAGTATCATCGATATAGCACTGTGCCATGAAAATTGTTAAATTTGGAGAGGAAATTTTCAACAAACTGACAAACTTTCGTAATTCCCCACTTGTTTCAAATGAATCGACAACACTCTCTTTCATCGTGAATGAGGAACCCTTGGGAAACTAGTGAGAACGTGGCGCAATCATTACTCTGAGCTGCTGACAAGAATACTACCCGCTTTGCAAGGATATTCAAGGGTGGGTTTCCGTTGATTGCGGTGGAACTGGATGCCAGAGCAGACATTGGACGGTGAAAATGAGCTGAGTGAAAAGGGGTTTCAGGGGGGGGGGGGGGGGGGGGGGGATAGTAATGTTTGAAAAACGAGAGCTGCATGGGGAAGGCCACTAGGAGAGGAAAGTGGCGTTTCCAGATTAAAAGTAAGATCAGAACTCATATCAAAGAATCTGGTTGCCCTTGCTCTTCTCGTATATCCCGTGAACTCCCCCCATCTTTATCTCTAAATCTTGTCATTCACACCCCACTTTCTGTTTTCTGCCAAAAAGAAGGATAAAGGATGGAGGGCGAGGTCACTATCAGTAATGAATCCCTTATGGAATGCGCCCCGCATTCGACTGTCATGAGTAACCAATAAATAACCCCCAATGAATAACTCCAAATAATTCCTTCTTTCTCATATTTTTCCAGCTAAAGAGTTATATTGGATATGAAGCGAATATACTTCCTGTATAGCTAGCTAGAATTCTGAATACAGTCACGCCTGCTTGTATGCGAAACAATGCGAAAAGGAAAAGAAACCGACGGCTGAAACGCACACGAAGAAACAGTTCACTCTTAGGTTGATATCCTTACTTTATATAAAGCGCTCGCGTCTGTCTGTCCGTCCGTCTGTCCGTCTGTCTGTCTGTTTGTACGGAAATTCATAACTGCTGTCCCCGTGGACCTAGGACGTCCAAATTTGGTATGAGCACAGGCAGCAGGATGGGAACACATATGGTGGGTGGCGGAACCGGACCCTGCCCACAG